CCTAAATACGTTAAAATGACATGCACAGAGTTTTACAATTATAGCAAAAGCCAGAAGTTTTGAAACAAGCTCACAGCAACGAAACAAATGACTGATATTTTAATGATACCTTGTATTTATTTATTTTTTTTCGTGAAACCTAGATTACTTATAAGTACCGTGCCGTACAAAATTATTGGCTCGGAGACACTTTCATCTGATCATAATTTCTAATCAGATCTTTTAGAAAAATGTTTAAAATGTAGCTTTTGAGCCAATTAGTAAAGTGCAAGTCTGAAGTTACCAGAAAATTTCGTTGATTTTTTGCAATTATTTATTTTTTGCTGACAGTGTCTTCCACATACAAAAAAATGTCGAACATAGTTTGTATGGAAGAAACTCTCAGTAAAAAAAATACCAAATATATTGCCTCGTTCAAAGACATGAGCAAAATCGTGAATACATGGTTTTCCGCAAAACAAGCGGATCTTAGTAATTTTGATAAAAATCTTAACGAACTCCGCACAGCTTTGAAAAGTACTGGAATTTCTCAAACTGTCAAAATCCATTTTATCCTTAAACATTTAAAGTAATCTATTTCATTCTTGAATAACGATGGTTTAGGATTATGGTCCGAGCAGGCCGGGAAGTCAGTTCATAGGGAATTCATTAAGTTCTGGGATAGATTCAAAATAAATATGATTGATAAACCAACTTTTGTGAGTCGCCTGAAGAAAACTGTAATGACATTTTCATTCCAGCATATATAAAAACTTAACTAAATAATAAAATATTTAAATACTAAAATGTGTGACTATATTATATGGTAAGCCAACAAAAAAAATAAAAGGAAACAAAAAACAAATATAAAAAATAAAGCAAGAAAAAAATATAAAAAAATAAAGCAAGAAAAAAATATAAAAAAATAAAACCAAAAAAAGAACAGAGAGGTGCAAAGTAAGTGGCCTCTACGTGGTGCGCCTTGGAAACGATTGAAACCGGCGAAAAACTTACATAAACTTATATTTTTACATAATATATATACACACATTTACTCACACATACATTGTTGAATATTTAATGCACAAGGATGTTTTTCTCTTTCGCAAAAGTCGGTCCTATCATAACTATGTAAAATGTTGATATATTTAAAACAGGAGCAGCTAGGATTTCAATTCAAAGGGATTCTTAACCTAAAAATATCAACAAATACAACCCTGCTTTCAGTTTTTGTCGACATTTTTATGCAACCTATCTTTGCTTCCTGCCCACCGTGAGGAATATTCATTTGGAAATGCTAATGGCCTACGCATTTATGAAATGAAAGACAAAATAATGATTTTTATAAATATTATATTCTCATTTATACATATGTAACATAGTTACTTAGCTGAATTACTTAGTAATTACTTGTATGTAAGAATACCAAGACAAATCATTTATCAGAAGCATTGCCTCTTACACATTGAAAAAAAGTAATAAAAGCTCTCAAAAAACCGCATAAATTCAAATCCGCATGACAAATAACCGCATAAAAAGAGACCTAATTGTGTAAGTTGAAATTTTATAAGAAATTATTGAACATTAAAAAAATTATACCTACATAGATATGTATGC